CCATGGTGTGGTGATTTTGGCAACATCCATGTAGAAAGACAGACCAAGGCATGGTGATTTTGGCAACATCCATGTAGAAAGAAAGACCATGGCATGGTGATTTTGGCAACATCCATGTAGAAAGACAGACCAAGGCATGGTGATTTTGGCAACATCCATGTAGAAAGACAGACCATGGCATGGTGATTTTGGCAACATCCATGTAGAAAGACAGACCATGGCATGGGGATTTTGGCAACATCCATGTAGAAAGGCAGACGTGGTGATTTCGGCAACAGGCATGAGGGAAAGTTAAGGCCGTTGTGATGCGTATAAGAAGATATGCTAGATGTGCGCTATGGATAAAGGCTCAACTTTGTGACCTGAACCGAACTGGCAGGGGATCTTAGAGCTTGTGGCCCCCAGAAATCTAGTATCCAGTCTGTCTCAAATCAGTCTACCAATGCCCCACCCCGCCCCGCCCCCAAGCATGGGTGAAAATGTCTATCAAAACTATCATTTGGAACATGAGCAAAGCCTGCTTGCTGAATATACTGCCAAACGACAACTCTTATTTGAAAGGTATATCGAGTGAAAGAAAAACTGAACTGCTGAGACTCAGCCCTAGAGCAATAAAATCAGTGGCAGGATTAAAAATTAAAGTTTTTTATAATCAGTAACAATCAGAGACTAAACAAAACAAAATAAAAACATTAAATAAAAGGGAAGAAATATTATTATTTAGATGAAGCTATGATGAACCAACACCAGAATTCAAGGCAGCGGTGAGGTTTTACTTGGCCATTTTTTGTTCAGTGTCTGGCTCTGTGGCTTTGAGGTTAAAAAAAAAAATTCTCGTAGTTTTCTGACAGCTGCATCATAGGGGATATTTGAGCCTCACCATATAGTATTCCAAAAGACACTGTAGCCAACCTTCCTACTGGAGATGGCACAGAATTTACGTTCAGCAGTTTGTCACTGCTTTCTGAATAGAATGATTCTCATATCACAGTCAATGTAAATACAATGGGTTTGCTACCAGACTGCTTGCAGCTGACTGTGAACATTGGTATGCTTGAATTGTTAAACAGCACTCACAATCTCTTAGCCACAGCGGCATTCAAGCCTTTATAAAGCATAATCTTTTTCTTCTTCGTGTTCACTAGCTATAAACTCTGGCAGAAAGTTCTGGTTGTTTGTCCACCTCTGGAATTTACAGAACCTAAGTGCTGCGCGCACATCCATTTAACAAATCTGACTTAATTGAATGCAGATTGTTGGTTTCTTGCCTTTCAGCCTGAAGCACTCTTGACTTTAAAGGAAGCCCCCAGTTAGTCGAATCTTACAACATGTTTGTTGGGTAGGCAGTGGATCTGTTCTTGTTTTACCCACAACGGGGCCCCGGAACCCACACGGGGAATAAAGCATATTAGAATTTGCCCTTTGTTGTTGTTGTTGTTGTTGTTGTTGTTGTTGTTGTTGTTGTTGTTGTTGTTGTTGTTGTTGTTGTTGTTGTTGTTGAAAAAAAAAAAATGAAAGTTCCAGTGTTTAAGTTAAAACTGTTTTCTAACTTAAAAAAAACAACAACAACAAAACGCTAAAGAACAATGACAACTCTCAGAGTTGACAACGGACTTAAAAGAAAACAGAGGAAAAGAGATGTTAACAGAAAACTAAAGTACTCAATTACCTTGATACGACCAGAAAAGGAATCAATCATAAATTTGCCATCATCATTCCCAGCAATGATTGAATATACCTTGACAGTGTCAAATGTGTCTAGATCTGTGGCGGAGACTGTCGTCAGTAAATAGCCAACTGTTACATCTTCCGGCACTGTGACGGAACTAAGTGGGTTAAAATGAGGCTTGAATTCATTGACATCTGTCACTGTGATCTACGTAAGAAAAAAAAAATGTTGTTTTTGTAAAATATTTCTCAATACAAATAAAATGGATTGTTTTAAGTTGAGTTGAGTTAAGAATTGACATCACAGCACTTGGAGCATTCCCCCGCATGCTCCGACCTCATCTTCAGCAGCCAGCGCAGATGGTACTGGTCACAATCTGGTTAAAAGTCCATCTTGCCTTTCCTCTGTGTGTAGTGAGCCGGCCAGACCCTCTGGTTACACTCAGGTGCCTCATTCTCTCCAGGCCATAATAATCTTCTTTCTCTACTGATTCTGTTGCTTGTTCCTAAAGGACCTTGACCACATCTGCTGGATTGTTTTAAATAACAAACATAAATGTCTAACATACATCAGTAAGAAGGAGCCACACTGGCATAGAGAGCTGCTGCAGTAGCATAGAAGCTAGATGCTTGCATGACAGTCTGAAGATTTTGGGTTTAAATCTACATCGAATCCAATGCTTTGTAACTTGACCTTGCCTTAACTAGATGCCAGGTGATGTCTTTGGAAGTTAAGGGTGGCCCAAGAGTCTCAGTGACAAAATGGTCAAACCATTTGCCTCATGCTCTGAAAGTCATAGGTTCACTTCACAGCAGCGCCGGTCATCATGGAAGCAATTTTTGTGGAGACCCCTGGGAGATCATCTCCAGAGCTGCAGAGTTAATGCTTTGTGTGATGTTACTGGCAGGTGGCTAACTGGTCTCTAGAGAGAGACTGAGCCACATGAGATAAAACCTAGCGCAATGAAGTCAATCCTCTAGCTAAGGATGGCTAGCATGATGATGACCACTTTACCCACCGAATCTCAACTGGTCTATAACATTTGAGTCTAGCATCATATGCCTGATGCACCACAGGTTTAAACAGTGACCCCGGCAACTGGTTGAGAACTATGTTCCACTGGGAGATTAAAGAAAGAAGAAGACTTGCAAATGTTGAATATTGAATTCTGAATCGACTTACAGCACATGGGACACTCCCTATAAGCGCTCCATCCCCATCTTCAGCAGCAAGCAAAGAGTTCCAATTGTGATGGCACCAGCAGCTGTCTGATTGTATATCTGTCTTGCCTTTGCCTTGAGTGCTGAATGTCAGCCAGATTCCCCTGGTAACTCCTCGCAGGGTCATTCTCTTTAGACTGTAATGGTCTATCTGTGCCTCGGCACTGTTCACTCGTTCCCAAAAGGCCCTTAAAATATCTAGCTTGTCATATATCATTTCACCACCAAGTGGTGCAGAGCCGGCCAGTCTATCTGCCTGCTCATTTCCCAACATACCGGCATAACCTGGAGAACATATCCAAAGGGTGCTAACTACCCTGGACCTCTTAAGTGATGCTTGCCACTCTACATGAAGCATGCCTGTCTCCACCTTTCTCAACATGCTCTGTGAGTCAGTTACAATCACAGCATGTATGTACAAATGATTCTCAAGCCAGCGGAAGACTAGCAAATACAATTATCAAGGCAGAGGGCTTTACTTACTTTAACTGCTGTTGTTGCATTATACATTCCGTCAGATGCAGTGATCTTTACTGTGTAAAGCTGAGTTGATTCATAATTGATAGCTGATGTGTTTGTAATACTGACTGTGCCTGCAGCTGAATCTATCACAAAGTCACCTTTGGAATCCCCTTAAAACAAAAATAAAAGGACAAACACACTGCAAATAAAAATATACTGTGTGTATATATCTATCTGTGTGTGTATATATATATATATACACACACACACAAGCATGTTTTTAAACTTTATGGACCACTGACTTAATTAAAAGCGATAGTAAAATTTATAAGTAAAAAAAAAGTAAAGATCCCTTTTCACGCCATAGGCGCATCGGGTATATGGGAAGAGCGTCCAATATTTTTACAGACCAATCGGCACTGGATGGGTAATGTGGTCAGCATTACGCCAGCCGTCTTTACTTCCTCAGGACAGCCATCCTGGTACCCATTTTAGGCTGGGTCGACCTGCGACACCCCATACCATGATAAAAATCCACGCAGCCAGCAGTGGGTTTTGATCGTGGTATGTTGGATTACGAGTCGGACTCGCAACGCTTAAGCTACAGACGCCGCAGTAAAATTGATACAGAAGACAAAATTTCTGATACAGACAACCTATTTAAGACAAATGAAAAGAAGAAGAAGTGAAAATGAAAATATACTATCATCATCATCTGCCTGTCACTGCCGTATCCAGGTCTTTCTTTGTCTACCTCTTCTTCTCTCTCCCTCTACCAATCCCAGTTGTATTGTTTTATAGAGACCATTAACTGTGTAGTTAAATGAGGTTCATAGTTGCCAGTATGCCGGATAATTAAACGGCAAACCTCATCATTTGGGGTGTGTATTTTATAAATATATATATATAAATATATATATTTATTAATATATATATATATATGCGTTGCGATCGAGCTTCATAATGCTGGGGGATGCGGGGTTTGATCCCAGCTGGGTGCCTTGCACCTTGCGTTGGTTTCGACAGTGGTATCAAGAAGCAGACCGTCCAGAAAGCAATGGCAAACTACTGGACAAACATTTGCCTAGAAAAACCACAACAGCCAATAAATGCTGGGGTTGGTTCTGCAACGTCCTGTAAAGGATACGCAACTAACGTTTTTTTAAATATATATACAATTTTCTGTCAACAGTCTGGAGAGATAAAGTGATGCTTATGTCTTCAACAAATTCCATGGAGTTTGATTTTAAAAACTGGTCTGGGTTTCCAGCCAGATGTAATCTAAACACAGGTACTTTGGAAATGTCTAGGGAAGTAAAACTGATCTGGGTTTCCAGCTGGATGTAATCTAAACACAGGTACTGGGGACATGTCTAGGGAAGTAAAACTGATCTGGGTTTCCAGCCGGATGTAATCTAAACAAAGGTACTGGGGAAATGTCTAGGGAAGTAAAACTGATCTGGGTTTCCAGCCGGATGTAATCTAAACACAGGTACTGGGGAAATGTCTAGGGAAGTAAAACTGTCTAGCATGACATTAACCTGGTCACATTTCTAATCAAATCTGGACTATGAAAATTTGGGACCAGTGTTGTATGGCTGTTGTGTTGCTGCTGTTGTTTATCCATTTCGTGTGATGCACACACAACATCACAACAGCACATACAACAGTACATACAACAGCACATACAACAGCACATACAACATCACATACAACAGCACATACAACAGCACACACAACATCACATACAACATCACACACAACATCACATACAACATCACATACAACAGCACATACAACAGCACACACAACATCACATACAACAGAACATACAACATCACATACAACATCACATACAACAGCACATACAACAGCACATACAACAGCACATACAACAGCACATACAACATCACATACAACAGCACATACAACAGCACACACAACAGCACACACAACATCACATACAACAGCACATACAACATCACATACAACAGCACACACAACATCACATACAACAGAACACACAACATCACACACAACAGCACATACAACATCACACACAACATCACACACAACAGCACACACAATAGCACACACAACATCACATACAACATCACATACAACAGCACACACAACATCACATACAACAGAACATACAACATCACATACAACAGAACATACAACATCACATACAACAGCACATACAACAGCCCATACAACAGCCCATACAACAGCCCATACAACAGAACATACAACAGAACATACAACAGCACATACAACAGCCCATACAACAGCCCATACAACAGCACATACAACAGAACATACAACATCACATACAACAGAACATACAACAGCACATACAACAGCACATACAACATCACATACAACAGCCCATACAACAGCCCATACAACAGCCCATAAACAGAACATACAACAGCACATACAACAGCACATACAACAGCCCATACAACAGCACATACAACAGCACATACAACAGCCCATAAAACAGAACATACAACAGCCCATACAACAGAACATACAACAGCACATACAACAGCACACACAACAGCACATACAACAGCCCATACAACATCACATACAACAGCACATACAACAGCCCATACAACAGCCCATACAACAGCCCATACAACAGCACATACAACAGCACACACAACAGCACACACAACAGCCCATACAACATCACACACAACAGCACACACAACAGCACACACAACATCGCATACAACATCACATACAACAGCACATACAACAGCACACACAACAGCCCATACAACAGCACACACAACATCACATACAACATAACATACAACAGAACATACAACATCACATACAACAGCACATACAACAGCACACACAACAGCCCATACAACAGCACACACAACATCACATACAACATCACATACAACAGCACACACAACATCACATACAACATCACATACAACAGCACACACAACAGCACATACAACAGCACACACAACAGCACATACAACAGCACATACAACAGCACATACAACAGCACATACAACAGCACATACAACAGCACATACAACAGCACATACAACAGCACACACAACAGCACACACAACAGCACACACAACAGCACACACAACAGCACACACAACAGCACATACAACAGCACATACAACAGAACATACAACATCACATACAACAGCCCATACAACATCACATACAACAGCCCATACAACAGCCCATACAACAGCACATACAACAGCCCACACAACAGCACACACAACAGCACATACAACATCACATACAACAGCACATACAACAGCACATACCACATCACATACAACAGAACATACAACAGCACATACAACAGCACATACAACATCACATACAACAGCACATACAACAGCACATACAACAGCACACACAACATCACATACAACAGCACATACAACAGCCCATACAACAGCCCATACAACATCACATACAACAGCACATACAACAGAACATACAACAGCACACACAACAGCCCATACAACAGCCCATACAACAGAGTATCCATATCTAAAACAGAAAGCTCCAGCTGGCAGTGACGAAAAGGGGTCTGGATGACCTTCAACCCAAATGGGAACTCACAGTCCGGTTGCAACACACCATCAGTATGGAAACTCCGTTGGCTAGTAAGGAGATGGTGGTGGGGGAAAGCACATATGGGAATGCCCCGAGTGCAGTGAGTGATATCATTTTTTTGATACACTCATTCCTTCATTCACTTCCAAGCTGGTGCAAAGAAACAAGAATGAGTTACGACTAGATCTGACTGTTGAGACTGACACATATGAGTGTTGAGTGACTCACCTGAGTGCTGAGACTGACTCACCTGAGTGCTGAGACTGACTCACCTGAGTGCTGAGGCTGATTTACCTGAGTGCTAAGACTAACTCATCTGTGTTTTGAGTTTGAGTTTTGTCCTGTGTGCTGAGATTGATTTACCTGAGTGTTGAGACTGACTCACCTGAATATCTACACTGACTCACCTGAGAATTCAGACTCACATGTGTTAAGACTGACTCACCTGTGTGTTGGGGCTGACTCACCTAATAGTTCAAACAGACTTAGGTATATGTTGAAACTGACTCACCTGAGTGTTGGGACTGACTCACCTAAGTGTTGGGACTGACTCATCTGAATGTTGGGACTGACTCACCTGAGTGTTGGGATGGACTCACCTGAGTGTTGGGACTGACTCATCTGAATGTTGAGACTGACCTACCTGATGTGATCCTGTAGGAAATCGCTCCTTTAGTGTCTGCATCGGTGCACTGAACAGATGCTACAAGGTTATTCAGGGAGTTCTCCGGCAGGATGACAGTATACAGTGATGTAGCACACACTGGAGGATTGTCATTGGCATCTGCCACAGTAAAGGTGACTGTCCCCACAGAGGATTGAACTGGCAATCCTTTATCCTAGAATATCATGAGGGAAAAAAAACATAAACTTCATGAAATCCCATAAAAATCATGAGAAAATAACAACTAACTAAGGAACATTTTTAAAAAACCCATTTAGTTAGAGGGTAATATTAAAATTTTGTCATTGCAAATTTCAATAAAGAAAACAAAAACAATAGACTGCACAATTTATTACCAGACATACTTCTCTAGGGAGATGCAATGGTGCAGCAGCTAGACACTCGCCTGCGGATCGGAAGGTCGTGGGTTCTGGTCGTCCTGATGGAGTCGGAATTTTCAAAAAATAAATTTGGCTCCCAGGTTGACCCAGCCTTGAATGGGTACCAGGTGAGGTCCTGGGAAATAAAAGCAGCTGGCATGAGGCTGACCACACCCCTCGCCAAGTGCTGATTGGTATATACAAATATAGATCTAGCCCTATATGCCTGATACGCCTAAAGGCATGGAAGAGGGTCCTTTACTTACCTTTTTATACTTCACTGTATCATATCCGGTGTATACTGAAGAATTAAATTTAAATACAATTTAGCACAAAAATGAATCCTTTTAGCTGAAATTCACAATGAACAGATTAGATATTTCAATTTAGGTCTTACTATCAAAATTTCACACTGATCGGCTTGTTTTTCTATTTATAAAGTGGAATATTTCACAATAACTTGTGCAATCTATTGTTTGTGTCTTCATTAATCAAAAGCAATAACCATCTTGGACAAAATATTCACCCCCCCCCCCCCCCCCCCCCCCCCCCCCACATACACAAATTGAGTGAATGGTTAATTAACATATGCAAGTTTTTTTTTCTTTTTTTCTAAATACATTCATTCACTGAATGCCAAGCAAATTTGATGTGTGATTCACTCTTTTCTGTGAGTTTAAACATTACAAACATAACCTATACTGTTCCATAATATATATCTTTGAGTCCCAAGCGGTTTAGCATTAAAGGCCCAAGGAGTAGTCAAGAGAGATGTAAAATCGGCGCATCTTGCATTTACTAGGCTTCTAGGAAGAAACATATGAACGTATGATGCGTTCTTTGGGACTCAAATAGTTAACTCAGATGACACTAAGAAATTATGGCTTTCCATTTATGCTTTAGAGGTTTCTCCTGTCATCCTCTTTGAAAGTGATGCACATGTCCTCTTTAAGGGTAGTTGAATCTTTATTCTGGTATTGGCTGTAAGAATCTTTTGGACTCAAAGAGAAAGATTGTTGTCTTCCCCATATAGGTTTCAGGGCCTTAATTTTTTTTTTTTTTGGAGGGTGAGGGGGGACACCCACTGTCCCCTTAACAGGCATATCATATAAAATCTACAAATGCTTCCTTCGAAGCTGGAGTGCATCTGCCTGAGAGGCGAGGAACCAACTGTCTGCATGCAAATATTCCAGATCGGTAAAATGGATGTGCATGCATAATTCAAGTTCTGGAACCAGACTAAAGTCCAGAAGTGGACAAACAGGCAGAATATCCACCAGAGCTTATAGCTAGTGGACTTGAAGAAAAAGAACAAGAATGGCATTTACAGATAAGAGGATTGACTTAAGTGTGCTGGGTTTTATCCAAAATCACTTGGTTTTCTCTGACGAGGGCTAGTTAACAACAATAGCACGGCACAAAGCACAAACTCTGCAGCACTAGCAATAACCTCCAGGGATCTCCAGAACACCTACACTTGCAAACTGAAAGACAGAGTTCAAAATAACCCACAATCTTCACAGCGAGGTGAGTGGCTTAACAACTTCACAATGAAGAATGAAAGTGTTAATCTACATAGATATTGTACACTTCACCATGCAGACTGAAAACATTAATCTACATAGATATACAAACATTTCACCATGAAGACTGAAAGTGTTAATCTACATAGATATATGTACACTTCACCATGGAGACTGAAAGAATTAATCTACACAGACATATGTACACTTCACCATGGAGACTGAAAGCATTAATCTACATAGATATATGTACACCTCACCATAGAGACTGAAAGCATTAATCTACATAGATGTACACTTCACCATGGAGACTGAAAGCATTAATCTACACAGACATTTGTACACTTCACCATGGAGACTGAAAGCATTAATCTACATAGATATATGTACACTTCACCATGGAGACTGAAAGCATTAATCTACATAGATATATGTACACTTCACTATGGAGACTGAAAGCATTGATCTACATAGATATATGTACACTTCACCATGGAGACTGAAAGCATTATTCTACATAGATATATGTACACTTCACCATGGAGACTGAAAGCATTAATCTACATAGATGTATGTACACTTCACCATGGAGACTGAAAGCATTGATCTACATAATGTACACTTCACCATGGAGACTGAAAGCATTGATCTACATAGATATATGTACACTTCACCATGGAGACTGAAAGAATTAATCTACACAGACATATGTACACTTCACCATGGAGACTGAAAGCATTGATCTACATAGATATATGTACACTTCACCATGGAGACTGAAAGAATTAATCTACACAGACATATGTACACTTCACCATGGAGACTGAAAGCATTAATCTACATAGATATATGTACACCTCACCATAGAG